CGTATTAAAGAGAGTGTGTTATCATTACTTAACGATTTGGAGGAGTAAAGCTTTAATCATTGGTACTTATTGCTTCATGATGTTTAGTTTTGTCCAAGCCGTCCCGTTTTATAGACTTGATTACCCTATCTCGTCCTCATTATATATTCCAACACAATACACACAAAAGCGTATTTCTTGAACTTAAAAATTACCTGTTGGTGAGATGTTTACTAAATTAATGTTTGCCATGTCATAATGTAAATGTATCAATAATGTTGTTTTATGTTGGTAAACCTTGAAAAAATGTGGCCATTTCAAATTTATTTTCTCTTGTTATTCATTTCAATACACAAAATATTGCTTGTAATTATGCATGAACAATATTTTTTGGAAAATTATTGTTTTATTATATTTTATGTTAAAGCTGCATTGTGTTCAGTTCTTGTACAATGTATGTTTCAGGAAATAAAGTGCGCCACACAAGGATGAAAATATAGGTAATGACAATAAAAAAACCTTCAATATCTTAACACCACAGACAGTTTGTTTGTCTGTAGATGCCTCATTCTTGCTTTTTTCCAAAGCAGTAATTCTGTCTGGTGGAGCATTGAGGAATCTGTTTTGTTGGTTTTTTGAAGATTTATGCTCCAACTCTTCCATGGTAGATATAATGTCTGTATCACCATGATCATTCCATGAACAACTTGAATCTTCAGGTACATCAGCCAAGAGTTCGTACAAAAATGCCCTGTTTGTTGTCCCTGTAACCATGGTCTAAACCAAATACTGTGCATCAAAAACCGATTTTGTTAGAACATTCCTACTACTTTGCATATCTCTCATTGTAGAATACCTTTGACCCTATTTTTGACGCATCGGCGTTGAACTATAGTTAGAGGCTGCCATGTTTGAAACAGAAGATCCTTTGTGTGTACCTTTGGCCAGTGATGTGTAATGTTACGTCACTGATTTCAAGTACTATTTGTGTAGGGGTGGGGGTGAAAGGAACAGCCTGAAAAGGCAGACACAAATGGCGGGAAACATTACAAACGTGTATTATATTGGGGCACGAGCATGTTTTGTCGTCCAATAATCCATGGCTATTGACCAATCAATTCGCTGCAAAAGCACGAGACGTACAAAATTGTAGTAAAATTGGAATTTTTATATATTTCTCTCTACTTCTAACTACCTTTTATTCCCTAGCGCTGCGTTTGGCAATTCCTCACAGGAAAGAGAAAGTCGGTAGAAGTAACGTTAAATAATAAAAAATACGAGTTACATTTGAATCAGCTGATCAGTGTCGGTTCCTCCGGTGTTCTTAAATGGAAGACACTGAGAAAAACTCCGACTCTGCAGGGGGACCAGTTGAGTTGTCTCTTACAACAAGCAGATATATATATTTTATTTCTTTGATGCCCTATGCAATTTCGGTAAAATAATTAACCCGCTGTATCCCACTATGTCCCTGCAGGTAGGGCGTAAGAATTGTACCTGCTGCCCCAAATTGCATGATCGTAAGAGGCGACTAAATTTGGGACCTTATCTCTTCTCTCCTTTCTAAATAACTTTATTCTTCCTAATGTCTCCCTTGACAATGCCTCATTTTTGGCCATTTGTTGAGCGTTCGCCCCTGTGAGGAAGGCTTTGGGTTCTATCCCCTGGCCGAGACATACCAAAGTCTTTAACAATGGTAGTTTCTACTCCTGCTTAACGCTCAGCAAATTAGGAGTGGGACGACTGGTTCGCCCGTTGTCAGTATACTGTGACCGGGTGGGGCGTCCTGCTGGGTGTCTTCGGCAGTATGTTTCAGTGAGGTAGCACTATAAAGTCGGCATCAGTTCCGCGGTATCACAAGGATATAAACACGAACATATCGCAGCCTCCCAAAATACACACACATACACTACACGCATGCATCTTGCACACAGGGGAGGCCGTCCTTAAATGACCTTTGCTGTTAATAGGACGTTAAACAAAATCAAACAAACAAACAAACAAACAAAGTATCCCACTACAAGTAAAAAGCGACTAATTTGGGGTCCCCAGCAGAATCGGGGATTTATTTGTAAAGAGGGAACAAAGAAGAAACCACAACTGATCCATGGAAACACTTGGGAACATTTTATTTTAATTTTTACTATTTAATCAATTTTTTTTGTATGCAAGACCTCACTTTTGGCAGTATGTTTCAGTGAGGTAGCACTATAAAGTCGACATCAGTTCTGCGCTATCACAAGGAGACAAACACGAACATATCGCAGCCTCCCAAAACACATACGCATACACTACACGCATGCATCTTGCACACAGGAGGGGCGTCCTTAAATGACCATAGCTGTTGAGAGGACATAAACAATACTAAACCAAACCAAACCTCACTTTTGGCCCTAGTGTTGAGCGTTCGGACAAGTGAGGACGACAGTAGGTTCTGTCCCTTGGCGGGACATACCAAAAATTTTAAAAGTAGTAGACTTTATTCACTGCTCAACGTTTAGCATTTAGAATATTCGCAACAACTGGTTTACCCGTTATCAGTGTAATCACATGCGCCTGTATCTGGTAAGTAAACCCTATTATATTTGAGTATACTTAGAGGTGAACAACCACCAAATGCTAAAACACGTCAAATTTAGTGTCAAAATATTAATAAAACATATTATAATTAGTTGTCATTCTATTTTTTGAAAAAAAAAGTCCGTATTTGTGCATAATTTATTATTTGAAAACGGCCCGTTTAATCGTATACCTTGGGAAGCACAGAGTTTGTACGCAGTTACTTCCCTTTGGCTGTGACGTCATTTGTGACGACCGGAAAGCGCGCCAGCTGTCAGTTCGGAGGCAGTCGTCAGGAAAACGTAAACAAACATGGTGCACTGTGCTGCGCTGAACTGTAATAGTAATTCCAATAATGGAGAGAAACTCAGTATGTTCCTGTTCCATAAGGAAAAGGTAAAGACTAAGAGAAAGGGATTTTCTCCAACCTCACACACGAGACTCTCAAAACCATTTTGAACCAGGCAGCTTCGTGAGAGATCCACGATCGATGTCGTCGATAGGCTTTGAACCATAAGTTTTATACTGGTTGTGTGATCTGAGTATGTGAGGGTAAATGTGGTCTACAAGATTGTGTGATCTGAGTATGTGAGGGTAAATGTGGTCTACAA